TCATTGGTTTTCCCAAAGAATGCTTCAGCGAAGACTGAGACGACAAAGACATTGATGATGAAGGAAACAAAGAGAGCAATGCAGGATTCAATGAAAAAGTACTTATTGGCTTCTCGAACTTCTTGCTTATTGGCCCGGTTTACCTGTCTGGACTAGAGAAAGAACAGCAGCAATGAGTATTTTGATGAGTTGGAACAAGTTTTCCTGTAACACTTCCTGAGTCTGGAGTTAGCTGAAAGATTTAGAGGGCAAACATCTAATCAGAAGATGAGATATCCAGCACTCACTTAGTTCCTAGCTTACTAGGTGATTAAGAACTTCATAATGCTCTGCAGACACTGTTCATTCCCCAAACAAGGAACAGTGTCTGACTACTGAGATCTCACAGTTGCCGTGGCTGGAAGGACAACCAACCTCCAAAAAAACAACCTGACTTCAGTCCCAAGGGATAGACAGTGAAACCTGTGAGAGCCGGAACTAGACCGGACTGCCTTGTTTTTCCAGGTCTTGCCGCTTTTCCACTTTTGACATGGTACTGTCTTACCACTTTTTTTTTTTTTAAATCACTCCTTTTAATTGAAAATACGTGGGTTTTCCTTCTCTGACAAGTTCCTATCTTACATAGGTTCCAGCTTTTGCAAGTTTTATATAGTCCTAATTACAAAGGTCTTTCATTATCTCCCAGCAAACTATTGTCTAAGGCTGATTGGTAAAAGCCTGATCGGGATCTTTTCGTCTACCCTCCACAAGTCCGCTCAGGTTTTGAGATTTAAACACAAGAGACTTAATACACTTTCAGTCCTTTTCAACCTCAGTCCCATTTCTCTGTGGAGTTAGTCATCTCTGATCACATGATGACAAAAAGAGTCAAAGTGTTTGGAGTTCATGAACATCCAGCCTTGGAAAGAATACCTTGTTCTTTCAGAGTACCAATAGCTGTAAACCAAGTTTATGTCCCTTGCAAGTAAAGGACAAGAACCCATGACCTATCCATGAGACCACGTAGATTAGGGACTGTGCTCACCTTCACTAAGGCAGAATGCAGGTACATGCTGTGTGGCATGATGATAGCTCCCACGATGCCCACAGCCTGCTCGATCTGTGGGATGCTACAGCCTGAACAGGATGGCACGAACATGCCCTTGAGTACCTGGCTCTGGCTGGGTTTCACTGTAACATACTACATACCAACAAAAGACACATTAGCGTTTACTGGAACGTGAGACCAGGGAGTAACACAGTAGTACTAA